GCAAGAAAGGAAAAAAAGATCCCTTTCTGCTTAGCAGCTTTGAAAGGCAGAATGTTATGGGCTTAATCTCTCAGTTTGAAAGACAAGGAGTTGGAAACATTTTATACAGAATTGAAAGAAGAAAAAGCAGGGTGTTTTTTTTTTAACCTTTGCTTTTCTGAAATGGGATTTTTTTTTAAGTCTTATTTTTCTGCTTTCTCTAAAGATTGGCTGATGAGAAGGAGGCAACTCAGAAATGCTAAAAGCATTAAATGTAGGTGGCTTCGCAGTTCTCATCTGCTTTTCGTGTTCTGTATTTTTCAGATCAGTGGTGTTAAGAGAGGGTGAGGCAGTCACAACTTGATGAGTTCTTTGTCTCTTTGTGTTTTCACTGAACCTTGAACTTCTCGTGGGGCTCTTAGCACATCTGCTTGTGCCACTGCAGCCTCCGCTGTCCCCGCTCCTGAGCTGAGCGTGTTTCCCTCCATGACTGTTTTGTTCAGGATTATCTTAGATATTTTGAGCCCTGATTCCTGTGGAATAACATCACTAAAGAACATGCCTTACAGCCATCGGCAGCCTCTTTGTGTGGCCTTTTTTTTTTTTTGCATTGCTTTTATAGTAGATCCTAATAGTTCATATCATTTTGGAAGTTTATGGCTATATAAATTTATCTTGACTTTTTGCCAATAAATAAAAAAGAAGTGTTTCATAGTATATAGGGGGAGATAGTGTGTATTTGTATATCAAAAGGGATACACAAAACTTTTCCCTGACCTTTCTGTCTAAAGCGACCTCCTCGCCACTTATCCCATTGACCTATTTCCTTGTATTTTTTATAATCTGAAACTATCTTGTGTGTCTGTACATATGTATGTATTATATATCATTGTGTGAATATTATATATGATATTGATGAGGTATATTGTTTACACATAATGTATATACATTTATTTTGTATATTTTCATATATTTACGTACATATGTATAAAAGTTTACTTATGCCTGCCTTGCCCCGTCTAGAATGGGCAGGAACTTTATTTCCAGCACATAGCAGATGCTTATTGACTGTTTTTGTTTGTTTTGTTTTGTTTTTTTTAATAGAATGAATCAGTCAGTCATTTAGATAGAAGCAAGATCATCATGGCGTGCACATCAAGTATTAGACTTTTAAAATGACTGAGGCTCAAATAATTTAGTGGGTTGTAAGTGTAATTTAGTTCAGTTACAGGAAGTCCTTCCTGAAGCCCTGAATAATGGTTTAGTTATTCTAGATCTGATGCTTTTCGAGATGGTTTAACAGTTTTATGAGGATTTTAAAATAATATTGCACGCTCTATTTTTGATTATCCCTTATCTCTGAAATTACAGTTCTTTCTCCATCCATATCTCATGGATGCAGTACATTTTACAGAGTGCCTACTCTGTATCAGCTCCTACGAATACAAAACTGAACAACCTCCTTGTCCTGTGGGTTCTTGCCATCTAAGGGGAGACTTAAAGCAAGCCGAGGTGGTCCGGGTTCAGAGTGCTGTGATGGGAGTAAATTCCAGCAGCTGTGGGAGAGACAGCCAACCCAGAGTTACGGTTTCAAGGAAGAGACCTCTAAGTGTTGACTGTAGAATCAGAATTAGCAGTTGGAGGAGGGTGTGGTGTGTGAGTGAGAGGGGGACGGTGTGGGGGAGGAGGAGTCACACGTTGAGAAGGTCTCGAGCGCTTGGGAGAAATGGACAGAGCTTTGTGTGGAAGGGGTGTAGACTTTGGAGGTAGTGATGGTGCACAGAGCAGTGGGAGTGCAGGAGGGAGACAGGATAGGAGGGGACTTACAGTGTGATCTACTGTATCTGGAAGACAGGGGAAATCACTGGAGGGTTTTAAGCAAAGAAGGGACCTGGGCAGAATTTTAGGGTGCACGGGTGACTTGGTACACTGATGAGTTAGGACCAGCCACCCATCCTCCCAGTGCTTGTCTACTTCGAAAGATGCAACAGAGGAGGAAGTGGGAATGGATCAGGGCAAGGCCATCCCTACTATTGATACAGGAAAAAAATGGGGCACGAGGGGATGGCCACGTTCCAGGTCCCAGGCAAGTCCCTGGGACGCGCCCCTTCAGGTGAGGGTCCTTGGCTTCGCGCAGGAAAGAATTCAAAAGCGAGCCATGTTTGGGTCAAAGTAGGTGTATTCAGAGAGATGCACGCTCCGTAGGCTGAGTGCAGGCCATCTCGAAAGGCAAGAGAAGGGCCACAAGGTGAGCGATTGTTAGTTTTTATGGGCTCAGTAACTGCATATGCTGACAAGTGAGAGGATTATTCCAACTACTTCGGGGAAGGGGGATTGGATGCCCAGAAACTGGGCCATCACCCACTTTTTCACCTTTTATGATCAGCCTCGAAACTGTCATGGCACCTGTGGGAGTGCCATTTAGCAGCCGTTGTTTTTCAAGGAGTGTGTATCCAAGCTCATGGTCAGCTGGGAGTTGAACCTTCCACCATCTTGGTCCTAATTCCTGTGTCTTTCTTTAGATGGCTGTTCCCTACCCTCTTCCCTCCTGTCTCAGTGTTATAAAAAGATCCACTCAGAGTGCACAGCACATTGTATGGCAAAAATAATCGGTTAAGTAGCACTTTATAAAGAATCAAGTCAAAAGATGTTCCCATCATTCATCACAGCTTTTTTTTTTTTTTTTTCGGTCCTTTCTTCTGCCTCACTTTCCCATCGTAGAACAACAAGGTCACACTCTTCCGCCAGCTGCAGCAAATGACGTACAACCTGATCGAGTGGCGGTCGCAGATCCTGTCTGGAACACTCCCCAAGGACGAACTGGCCGAGCTCAAGAAGAAGGTCACGGCCAAAATCGATCACGGGAACAGGTAAGCCAGGGATAGCTTTATCCCAGGAACTTAGAAGGAGCCGAGCACAGTCATGCTGACTAAGGACACAGCTCCCCATGAGCTCTTGATCTTAGACTCGCCAAAGAATAGTGTTGACTGCTCTCTTTCTGCCTTGGAAAACACTGAATTTCGTTGCAGAAAATTTGGCAGCAGCGTCCATGGTCCAGACCCTGTGCTGGATCTCTGGTCTCGAGGACCTGACGGATGAGTAGCGAAACTGGGGCTGGGATGGAAGTAAATGCACTGCCAAACAGACTCAAAGTGTCTGAGCACTTGAAGCTGACATTTTCGGGGACCTGGGACTGTCTCTATTCTTCTGACAGTGGTTTTTACATCAGAATCAGACTCACTCTCTCTCTGTCTTCCCCTAACTGGGACCACTGTTTCCACTGTGTAAAAACCAGATTTACCAGGAGTAGTGAACATGCTTTTAGCCTGTTATGTCTCCAGTAACCTCTAAAGAGTTAACCACTTCATTAATCTTCCCACAAGCTCAGGCAAGTATATTATTCTGCTTTTTGGAAAATAAGAAATTCAGTCAGTTCATCAGCATTGATGGTGACCTGGGATTCATGCCTCTCGATCAGCTCTTTTTAAAATCCCGGGTTGGTTTCTCAGTTTTTGTGGATGATTTGTTTGACATTAAGTTTCATTTTCTAAATTTCTTCAACATGTGCATGTGTGATATTTTTTTTTCCTCCCTCTTTGCCCTGTTTCTGCAACTTCAGGACCCTGGAATGTACTTCAAAGACCTGTTAAATACCGCTCATTGCCTACTCATTTAAGTGTTATGGACTCTGACAGCTGTATTCAGGAAGAGCTGGAGTAAAGAGCGTACATCAGCATTCAACCCTTGTTTTTGAAATCTTCCGCGTACACTTCGCATATAGCCCTTGATTATAACCCTGTGAGGTAGCTGTTACTCCCATTTATGGTTAAAGAAACAGACCAAGTGAGGTTAAGTGAATTGTTTCCATGTCACATACATCACTAAGTGGGGAAGTTTAATTTGAACCCAAGACTTTCAAGTCCACGTCTAATGCTCCCTTCCTAGGGTTGGGAATTACTCGCTCTCTCCCTCCTTGCTTGGACATTCAGGACTCCAACCTCAGGAGTTGCACTGCCAGTCATGTCGTGCTGGGAGATGCTTAAAAAGACAGCTGAGGTGGGATAAGGCTGCTCCCTCCTTGCACATATGCAGCCTCTGGCGTTTTGGGTCTTGGCACAGTAAGGCATTGGCTTGGAGGCCCCGGTCTCTGGCACAGGATGGTCACGTCCCACAAACAGCAGAACGCGCTTGCCTTCCCATTTCAGCCCTTGGAAGCCGCTCAAGAAATGAAGCTGCTGCATCAGTACATCAGAGATGCGGCCTGAGCGGCCAGCGAGGCCCGTCTCTTCGCTCATGAGTGTGGGTGGCACGTGGGTCTGGCTGCCGTAGCAGGAGACCCACCGGAGTGAATCAGTTGATGGAGATGCCATAAACAGACAGGAGGGAAATCAGGCACTTGTGCTTTCTTCCCAAAGACTTGGCCCAGGT